TGTATTAGCTGTGAAACTGAAATAATATTATGCTGTTGTAGGAGTGAATGAAAACTTGCACAGAACTTAAATTATTTAACAGTGGGTCTTAGAGCTGTCTAATTTGTAGGAAGATAAGTTAGACTGCTGTTTTTCTTAATCTGCATAAATGCTTAGCAATGCAGCCTTAAGTGTTCTTTTTTTTTTCTTTTATATGTGTGAAAACAAAATGCACAACTGCCATCGTATTATTGTCTTCATTTCTAGTCTGTCTGTGTTGCAGGTTTCTTACTTAATAATTACATCAATCACTTCTCATGTGAGCCTTAAGGGAGGTCTTGCAAAACAAGTATTCAGCTGCCCATTTTTTAAACTCTGTATTGCTATAAACAGAATTTTTCATGAAAATTAATGTAATAAATTTTTGTGCAGTTGAGCGTCATGTTTGAAATTCTTTGAGCACTTAGATTAATTCTTAAATTATAGAAGCTGATAATTTTAGGCTTCGCTTCCTTGATTTTAAATACATACCATGTAAATTATATGATTATTAATATCCTAGTGGACCTATGGAAGCTCCAGTCCCTTCATCTGATTCACTAGTCCATTTGATATTTATACACAAAGCTGGAGTTCTTCACAGAGGAGAAGCATCCTCAAGAAAATGAGTTGTAGAATTAGATGATTTTGAGTAGACATTAAAAAAAAAAAATTCAAAAGTACTTATTCTGAGCAAGAACGCATCACAAAGTCAGAAGTTCTGGAAATGCACTTCCATTTTCTTCTGATATTTCATCGGAACTTTTGCTACTGAAGTGCTGCATGATATTTTCTTTGCTTGTGAGACATCCTTAGTTAATATTTTAGAAAAATAACTTTTATAGTTTCCTTCCTTTTTTTAGGAAGGAGGGAAGGAAGTATATTCAAAGCAGTATTTTCTGCTGGCAAGTCTGACTTAATGTATTCCTAGTAAGTATGCTCTAATATAAGTCCAAAACGCATATGACTCGTCACAATATTATTGTATCATGTGAATTTGATTTCTTATTTTTGTGGCTCTTTATCTTTTTGAAATAAGTATTTTGCCAACCTAGAAGTCCAAATCTCTTTATTTTCAGTGTCCTGTATTTGGAAAACTGGATACTGTGGTGGAAATATGAGCTGTTGCTGTTTCTGTCTATATATAATTCTGTTTGATACTTCATTATTCAGAATAATGTAGTGAAAGTGTTGGAATTTATGTTAGAAATGGAATTTAATTTGATTATTTCAGTTAGTGATTCATCAGTGTTTATTAGTGCTTCCAGTGTGAATTGAAACTTTCTGTATACAGCAGACAACATACACAAAGCTCTAATTTATAATCCAAACTGACCATGTTTTATTTCTACTCCCTTTATCTAAGGGCTTCAGACTACTCATTCTGGTTCTTTTCGTGGAGATGCACTGTCCTGAAAGGCCATTATTTTAATTTTTTTCTGGTTTTGTTACAGTGGATATCAGAGAGCAGCTGTAAATAAAGTTGGGTAACAAGGAATTATGTCTGAAACCTATTTCACTTCAGTAAATATCATATGCCTGCATTATTGTAACTTAAAATTTTTAATACTCCATCTAGCAAGGCAGTAGATCAATGAAAATTACAATTCATTGAGCATTTAAAAAACAAACAAACAAACAAGGATTCTCAGCACCTTCCCTTTTATTACAAGAAAAGTAATACAAAGATTTGTCTAAGATGAAGAGAACTTCAGTTGCAGCATTTACTTGCTCAGGTATGGAATGCCTCTGAAGCAGAGGCTAACATAGTAGTTACTGTGGTTTTTAACAAATACTGTAAAATCTCCAATCTGTTACTATGGGCTTGTTGTATGAAAGCCACGTACAATTCTTTTTTGGTCTCTCTTTTCTAGTGGATTGAAATTATATGGCTTCTTTCCAGCTGAATTATACAGTATGCTGGAAGAGGAGCTGACTTTAAGGGTTCCCAAACCAGGGATCTTATTTCCTATTTTTTTTTCTTAATTATTAAGAATATGATGGCAAATGGAAAAGGTGATGAGTGTGAAGGATGAACTTTCAAAATTCAAAATCAAAAGGACAAAATAAGTACAGCAACCACTTATGCCTCCTTGACTTCTCTGGTCTTGTCAGATCTTCAGAGGCACTCTGGTATCAACTTGCGTAAAGAACTGTTTTGAACTCTTGGTCAGATTTCTGCACAGGCTTTAATAGAACCATAGTTTTCAATGATGAAGTATATTTTGGTTCAGGAATGCAGTTATGAATTCAACTCATTCACTGCTCATACAAATTCATATGCCTTATAAATGTTGCTTGAGCATAGAATTCTGTCATATATTAGACTGCAAATGGATCTGTTTTGTTGCTTTATTTCCTGAGTGATATACTGAGAATTATTTAAAAAAAAAAAATTATTTTCTGTAGAATAAATGAGTAATCATTGAATGGTCACTGTTGCATCCCAAATGCTACATTTTATTAGTTAGTAATAGTGTTGCTAGTTTGGAGAGTTCATTCTATCCCTAGGCTAATTCATTTCTGTCTCTGTACTAGATTTTGTTTAATCTGTCCTTACAATAGACCTATTGTTAGATGAGTAGGTAGGACAGCTCTGGCCGTTTAGCTTTTGTCTGCCAACTCAGTGTATGCAAGCCGAATACTTCTAAGCATTCTTACGTTGTGGAAATGCTCACTTATTTAACAGATGGTATATAAACTGCAAGAAACAAGAAGCAAAGCTTTGTATTATTTGCAACTACATAGCCAGTTTATTTTGTATGTTTTACAGTTTGTGCCTTCCTTTTGAAAGAGGAATGATTTGGTGGTGATGGAGTGCTGCCACTGACAGATGGACTCACAGGAAAGAAGGTAAGAATGAGCAGCTAGGTGAAGCCATAGAGGCTTCCTGAAATGTGCCAGCTGATAATTGCCCTGTGAAAGTAAGTGATGTCAGCCTAGTCTTATTTTATAAACTGAGCTAAAGGGGAGGAGAAGAGGAGTAACCTAGCTTTAGCTTTAATTATCAACTTATTACAACAGTAACTTTTTTTTTTCAATTGATTGTGAATATCTCCAAGGCTGCAAACTGCACAAGCTCTGTGGGCAGTCTATCCTAGTGTTTAACCACTATCACAGTGAAGAAGTGGGGTTTTTTGTGTGTTCAAGTAGATACTGGGAGTGGGAACAGACACGAGTCCGTCTCTGCTTGTTAGTCTCACCTGATGTTGGATCTTTGAGAGGCACATTGTACAAAGGTGTTGCTCATCCTATGCAACACAACTTGGAAAATTTAATTTAGAAGAAATCAGAGTCAGTACGAATAGATGCTCGCTGTTCGAGTGTGCTACTTGCATGTTAGAAGGTGCAGGCAATGCAGCCTATCAGATGAGCTTTTCTTGGGATTTCTTCAGTGTTGGAAAACGTGCATTACTTTTTGCGTTTGCTTCTACACATCCATTGCCATTCCATCAAAGCTGTTCTCACTGCCTTACATATTTCACTTCACAAATTCATGTGAAGCTGACAAGAGCTGAATTACGTAGGGAGTAAATGGCTCAAGAACTAAACCTCCTTTTCCCTTTAGGGTGGGTAACAATTTATTATATATGAAAATGTAAATGAATTTGGAGACACTTCATTGAACTCGAAATGCTATCAGTCTATATTAAAGTTTAAAATTATATTTTTGTTTAAATTGTGTGATTACATCAATAGTTGCTGTTATGTATGGTTGTTGTCAAAGTTCTGAGGAATTTCTTTTATGCTGAATGGAAGAAGTTACTGACTGAGCATTCATACTAGAATTTGCTGAAGTGTTAAAGCAGCTCTGCATAGCTGCAGTCACTCCTGCAAGCCTGGATACTTCCTTTGTGCTTCAAGGTTAATTTTTTTTGGTTCAGTTCACTTGAATGACTGGCTTATTTGAATCTGAGAAACTCACTAAGTATTGAAAGAGCAAAAAAAAAAACCCTTAGTTTCTTTCTGAAGGTAGAAATGAAAGTAGGTAAAGGATGAGATCTTGTGGGTATGTTGTTTTGAAGACACTGTGAATGGAAGCAGTCAGTTCACTGTACAGTCTGCAGACAATGTTTTCCTTTGCTTAATTATTTTTAAAAGCAAATGTTTGAGAACTTTTTGTATAACTCCAGCACACTTGACACTGTATGTAACTGATAAACACACATTTATGCTGTTTTTCTGCATTTTAATTTCCAATTTACTGGATTTGATTTATGTTTTGCATTATTAAATTTTTGGAAGTGTTCTAGTTTCTAACAAACACACTAATAATTAACATTATAAATCTCACTACTTCTATAGGAATAGAGTTGCTCACATGGGAGTGGAAATGACATAGCTGTCTCCTTGAGAATATATATATGCATGTATATGTGTACGTAGTGGCAGAAGTGTGTATTAACTTGATCTCCTCACAGTGAGCGAAAAACACAATATTTAATATAAAGGCTCTGTTAGTTGTGAGTAAGCATATTTTAAAGGTTACTAACATTACGGTCAGCTGCTTTTGAGATAGTAAAGTACAAATGAAAAACATTTAATGATTTTTCTATTGAAGATTTTTGTTTTTCCTTTAAATAACATTTAAATTAAGATCACCAAATTCTAAATGAAGTACATAGACCTTCTGAAATTAAAGCTAATATCTGAGCTGCTCAGCCTTTCGCACATAGATGAAAAGCAAACTGCACGTTATTGAACCACAGAAAACTGCAAGCTGTTTTGGGGGATTCTTCAAGCTGTGCATTCTTTTTGTAGCTCAGAAGAGGCAGAAGGAGCCAGAGAGAGGGGCCTGGTCTATGTTTGGAAGGCTGGTTCCTGCTCCGTAACTCCAGAAAGGCTTCCGGGCCTCAATGGAAAGACTGTATTACAGGCAGCCCTTGGAATAAATCATGGCTTACTTCTAACAGAAGGTAATAAATATGTGCATTTTAAAGATTTGAGGCAATAAGGAGCTTTAATTATTTTCATTTTTTTCTTAGTTTTTAATCTGATTCAATCCCTAGGTCTTACATAACTTCTCAACTGTTAGATTTATAATGTTGCCAGTATTTCCATCTTATTTTAAGTCACTTAAAACTGTGTCGGAATAGAAATTTTATGCAGAGTGGCTTCTTACATGCTCTTTTTCCTCTTAACAATGGCTCTGGATTTCCCCGTTCAAAGATGGTAACATAATCTGAACCCTGTTATCTCAAAATGAAAGTTACTGTGACTTCTTTCGTTCCAAAAAGACAGTATATCAACAAGTGCTTGCAGTGTGCGAGAGCTTTATTTTCTGTGGGTTTCTGGAAAAACAAGTAGGTAAGCACATATAGCAGCAGATGCATTAGAGTGAGTCTTGGTTTGTGATCAGTTTGGCACCGTGAATCAAAAAAGGAATTTCTAAAAGACAGTGCCTTTAAGTGTTTGCATAGCTTGGTCCTTACTTGTGATGATCAATGAGCATACAGTTGTAAAGAATAAACTGAAATTTGCTTCTTTGTTTGTTTTTTTTCCTCTGATATTCTCTGAGGAAAGAGAATTTAATGCCTTTGAATGAAACCAGGCTTCAGATTTTAAAAAAAAAGAAAAAAAAGTTAGTTTATTGGAGTACCTGCTATAGCTGTTTCAAATCTATCAGAGCTGTTATGAAACTCCAGTACTTTTTTGAGAACATGTTTTTTTTCATGATTAAAAACACTTTTTACCTGTATGTTCCTGCCCTATGAAGGATGTTGTCTGCAAATATGATTTATCGTTCTTTTATCACTGTCAGAACAACTGTTGTCTAAAATCATCCTTAAAATAGATTTATGCTTTTTTGCTTTTCTTTATAATTAGCGAACTAACTTGCATTGGCATTGCTGCAGTCATGTCAGATACAGGTAAGGATGTTTGGAGGGGATGAGCCCTTGTGATTTAAAAGATTAAAAAAAAAAATTAGAGCAGTAGCAGGATACATTTACCCTGTTTCCACATGCTATGGCAACGTTTTCCTGTTGTACTTTAGGATGGCAAACAGTCAGTATCATTTGGGGAGCTAGATGCCTGTATGGAAGGATGAGCACTGTACTTTGATGTGCTCTTCCAGCATGGTTGTATGCATGTAGTATAGAGCAGGGAAGACTTGAAAGAGTGAAGTTTAAAGTTATTTTTTCAGAAATAGAATGTGTTATGTACTCTAAGATAATTCTTGTGTCGTTTCTGTTCAGTGTTGTTTCCTCCGAGTAGTTTTCACCAGCAAGATGAATTGCATTTATTCATCTATGTATTCACTGTGGATCAGCATTCATTGGTCCTTTTTTAACAGGATAGACTTGAGTAAATACATTTAACTTGGGTATAGTAGGATTTTTAGCAGAAAAGCATTACTTAGCTCAGCAGTGTTCATGCATGCACAGAGTAATGTTAATACCAGGTATAGAACTTATCAGTAGCAATAGTAAAGAACAGCCAGCAGCCTTCATACATCAGTACCCATAGTTTGGCAGATCCTATAATAAGCTAAAAATTGATGTTTGTTCATCTGACTCTCTTTTCCAGTTGTTGTATGGGCTTAATTTCATTAAAACCATGGTATCTTTTTCAGGTGGAGAGGTCTACAGTTTTGGAAAACTTCCCTGGAGAACAGGACCAGAGGAGTCATATGCTAATAGTCCCATCTTAGAAAATAGTCTGCTTGGGCAGCATGTTATTACAGTGGCAGCTGGCAGCTTCCATAATGGAGCCGTAACAGAAGGTGGTGTGGTCTACATGTGGGGAAACAATTCTGCTGGCCAATGTGCAGTTGCTAATCAACCATATGTGCCAGAACCGCAACCCATCAGTATTTCTGATTCGGAAACCAGTCCTCTGCTATCGGTCAGGATTTTGCAGCTAGCATGTGGAGAGGAGCACACCCTGGCACTATCGCTAAGCAGGGAGATATGGGCCTGGGGGAGTGGCTGCCAGCTGGGTCTCATAACAACAACTTTCCCGGTGATAAAACCGCAGAAGGTAGAGCACCTGGCAGGACGCGTTGTGCTCCAGGTTGCTTGTGGAGCTTACCACAGCCTGGCTCTGGTACAATGCCTTCCTGTGCAGGAAATGAAGCCTATCCCAGAGAGGTGCAATCATTGCAGCCAACTTCTCATTACCATGACAGACAAGGAAGATCATGTAATCATATCAGATAGTCACTGTTGCCCACTGGGTGTAACACTGGCTGATACCCGAAGAGAAAATCTTCTCTCCTGTCCTTCGTTGGAGACCCTAGAAGGAAAAAGTGTAGCAGGTAGCCAAAGTGAAGATTGTCAGAAATCCATTGTGGAAGAACATATGCTTGTTGCTTTAGAATCTGATGGAGCAAGCATGCTTTCCAACAGTGATGGACAGGAAGATAGTGGAATCTCTAGTCCTGCAAATATTCTGTTCCCCGACAAAAAAGAAGTGAAAGAGTACAATTTGTCAGATAATTCATTAAATGAGAGCCTGGAGAAAAGCATCAGTACAGAACCTGAGCAGGTTGGTACCTAGTAACCAGCTCTTAATGTGCTACAACTCCTCTTATGCTGTGTACATGATGTTTTGTGTTTGAACTGATAACAAATGAAGTATTCTGTTAGCGTTTAATGTAAGTAGGGTGTTTCTGTAGTTTCAAAAAGTGTTTTTTCTCTGTGATGGCTCTCAGCTTGTACGTGGAAGTTTTTGTCCACCATCCTTATTCAGTTGTAAGCTGCCTTTAATGTGAGCAGCCTTGACAGTGCTCCAGCGTTGCCTCTGTGGTCCATAGTACCAGAACCAAGACGGCCTATTTCCCATTCTCTTCTCCAGCCCTTTATTGATGCATGCATTTCCTGTCTGTGTGGGACAGTAAGCTGGTACTTGGCTATTTTACCCTTAAGGTAAAACTTTCTTTTCTCTACATAGAACGAATCCCTTACAAATCTGTCTAATTTCTCAATCAAAAATTCTAGATGGAAGTAAAGATTGAAAAGATAATGTTAAAATGTAGTCTAAAGGCCTCTGATGTTAATCATGTGTGTTCCATGAAACTATAAAAGGGATGGGAAACGAGTAATATTTGTTTTGCTTTGGATGATGCAGAAAATGATTCAACTGTACTGTTTTAATGCTATTGCAGAATAGTAAAGTAATAACTTCTTAATAGACTTCAGAAAACGTTTGACAAAGCTTCAGGAAACACTGTTCTCAGCTCTCCGCCCAAATACTACTGATTCAACTAAAAAAAAAATATATATATTTTAAAGGGGAGGGGGAGAAAGGAAAATACAAGCCAAAAACTATTAGACAGAAAACTAGTCTAAGCTCTTAGAGTACAGTCTGGCAATCCCTACTCAAGTGCTATCCTACTAGATGATTTACAGTGGAGGTAACTTCTGTAAGAACAACTTTGCTACTCTGCGGCATAATATGCAAAATTCATAACAGAATTCTGTAGTCATTCTCATGTTGTGTATAAGTCTTTTTTTTTTTAAATAATTACTATAGGAGTTTTTTCAGTATACTTCTAGGGAATAAATATCACCATTTAACAGGACTTATTTTTTTGTCATCATCTCTGCTTCCAAAAAGAAAAACATTAAGTAGTATTAAAAATAAAAGAAAATATCCCATAACTTTGTTATGGTGTTAGAGTTTCAGCAAGTTTCCCTACCATGAGGGAAACTTATTTTGGAGAAAGAAGTGTTATCTTAATACAGTTATCCTTCCTTTAGCTTTTTGCTGAGACAAATGTGATCCAGCAGTTGTGAGCTCCTCAGGCTCATCTAAGCACTCCTGCCATTGGGAAACTACTGAAACAAGTAGTTTAATGCTGCCTTTCTCAGCTCCCTGTTCTATTAACTATGCTTTATATGGATATGACAGTAGCGTAAGTGGACATATAGCACGGAATGGTCTTAAGATAGACCTTGCAAAATGAATCAATGAATCATTCTGTTTGTTCCCTTTTTAATATATTAAAATATATATTTATTATATACATATTATAATATATTTTAATATATTAAAAAGGGAACATATATTTCTGTAAATACAATGTGCTCACTGATGCACTTTAATCAGTGACAGAGAAGCTGCTAATAAGCCAAAAATTAAATCCCTTTTTGTTTTGCAAAGGCACAATTTTTGTTATTTAAAAAAAAAAAATCCACACCTTCTTATGGATGAGCTACAAGGAACAGACAAAGCCCACTTCATATAGAAGTGGTGCTTAGTCTTACCTTACAAAACGTGATTCTGCGGAATGGACTTACATGTAGGTATAAAAAGCTTCATCACAGTGTCTCATTCAGTTTAGGACATAGTTTGAACAGTGAATATGTATATTGCTGTCCCACTGTTACATGCTCTGTGATATGATATGCTTTGATTTTTTTTTCTTTGGTTTTAGCCTTCTCAAGAACAACTCAGTGCTTGTATCTTGGCCCCTCCAAGTACCAGCACATCCGCCTTGAACAGCTTGGTGGCCTCTTGTGCGTCAGCAGTTGGTGTGAGAGTAGCTGCTACGTATGAAGCTGGAGCATTGTCTCTGAAGAAAGTAATGAACTTCTATGGCCCATCTTCAAGTGAAGTGGGATCTCAATATGGCAGCGGTTCCCCAGGGCCTGAAGGTCTGAAAGACAGTAGAGAAGAGCAGGTCAGACTGGAATCCATGCAAGGAAAGAAGAGTTCCAGTTTAGTAGATATTAGAGAGGAGGAATCTGAAGGAGTCAGCCGAAGACTTTCCCTGCCTGGCTTGTTGTCACAAGGTAAGAGTGTGTGTTGGGAAATCCAAGAGACTGGAAAAGTTATAATATTGTGAAGGGTTGTACTGAAGACACCACATACTTGGATGTGAATTTAATCCCCTGCTAAAGGTCTTTGTGAATTATAAACTATGTTTGAGGACCTGACGGTGGGGGATGGGGGGAAGGGCTAGCAAGTACTGCCTTCTAATAAAATCAAAAGCATAGTGGGCTTAGGAATGCTCTTCGTGAGTGAGGTGGGCTCACTGTGGTAGATTGGGTATCTTTTACAAAATGACCTGAGACAGCTAACTGCCTTTCGTATAGGTTGCACAGCAGGTAAAGATCTGTGTGGCTGTTGATCCCTACTGCATTGGGCTGGTTTTGAGCCAAGGCCCTAGAAACAGTCTAGTTCCAATTACTAAGCTTCAAAGCTAGTGAGCTTCTTTCCTTGCAGGTTTTAATGTTGTTAATTGCTCTGTATGCAGAGTTATATGGTTTAGTTCTCTATTGATTTTTGGATCTGTGAGGAGTTTTTAGGAGTTATTGGAATACTTATGTTCACTGCAAGGATATGCTTTCTTTCAAAATATGCTTACTTTTATATATAGCTCATTTTTGTTCATTTCCTTTAGTGTAGCCACATAGTTTCCATATGCCCATTATTCTCTAATAGCCTCTAAAACTTTCTTAGGACATATCTACTTTTAGCACGCATGTTGCTTCTGTTTGAGTAACCTAGCTTCTTAGACTTTAGCGTTTGCTCTGAATCTTAATTGAGACTTCCTAGAGACGCCTTGATCAGTTATTTTGAATGATATTCCTACTGTGTAAGAAAGTCTGTGTAGTGGTGTATCTGTCTGAAATGAGGGGCTGCTTTTTTTTGTTTGTTTAAGCCTTAAACTGTTTTTTTAAGTTTCTCTTGGCTTGTTTTCAGTTTCTCCTAGGCTTTTACGGAAAGTTGGGCGGGCAAAAATGAGGACTGTTGCTCTGACTCCAACCTACAGTGGTGAGGCTGATGCTCTTTTACCATCTCTAAGAACGGAGGTATGGAGCTGGGGAAAGGGGAAAGAAGGACAACTAGGACATGGTGATGTTCTGCCAAGGTGAGATTTCTCTGAGAAAAGTTTCTTTATTCAGCAGGTCAGTAGGAAGTCTCAAGTACTAAACTTTCAGAATTGGTCAACTTCCTTACTTTGGATTCTTATTCTTTAAGCTGTCTGACTTCAGATTCTTCTAATATGTTTGATGCTATATTCTCACTAAACCTAGGTCAGTCAGAACTTCTCCCTTGTAACTGCTGTGAGTTTTGATGAAATTTTGACTGTATTGTCCTCTCTGGGGTGAGGTTCATCATGAATTTTTGCCCTTTAGAACCTTTTTTAACTAAGCTGGTTTATTGCCAAAAGATTCCATGTATTTTTCTCTAATGTGCTTGGGAAAAAATAAAACTCAAATTTTATTTTCATGTTAGGAATTCCTCTGATAGTGTTTTGGTTTTTTTCCTTTATGGGTTCTGGGGATTGACAGGCTTCAGCCACTGTGTGTGAAAAGTCTAGATGGCAAAGAAGTGATTCAGCTGTCTGCTGGTGGCCATCATTCCTTAGCTCTCACTGCCAAATCCCAGGTACAAGTGATAATATAATTTATTGCTTATTTATGACATGAGTGTCATGTTTGCTATTTTCTAGGTTTATTTTTGTTTCTTTTGCTTCTAAACATTTGTTCCCATTTGTGGGAGGAGAGTTGGAAGCACTGTGCCTAGTGGAGGTTTAGTTATATTTCTGCCTACATTTGTGCCTGTGTCATCAATATTATGTTTAAAGATTGATGACTTGATAAGGCACATTCCATTTCTGAACATGAGAAGACAAAATCTGAGAATATAGACAGACAGTGGAGATTAGGAAGGTGCTTCTTGGTACATATATTTGATACCCTTGACTTGTGTCTGTTTGCACAGTTGATGTGTTGTACTACTGCAATTCAGTATGTGTCCGTGTGTATATGCTGTTACGTTCTGATGTTTGGCTGTGTTCTGCACAGGTATATTCATGGGGCAGGAATACTTCTGGCCAGCTTGGTCACTTAAATTCCCCAACAACAGTCCCTCGTCTTGCAAAGGTACTTTGTTTTCTATATTTTATTTTGTTCAGTTTAGGGCCTCTCTCTATAAGAGTGAGCATAAACTAATTTCTATAAACTGATCTTGGTTGTGGTTCCATGTGCTATGAAGTAGTAGATTCATTAATTACTGTGATTTATAGTGTGACACTGCTCGTTACAGGAGCCTGTGAAAATCTACGCCACAATTAATTTCTATAAATGTCAAATGGTCAACTGTTTTTGGGGGGGGGATTTTTTTTTTTTTTTGCCTTTTTTCTTCAATTTGACAGCTTTATCTTCTGATCAGATTTCACTTCTGCCTTATTGGTTTCTCTGATACTAATGTTGTGATGCTGAGACTTTGAAATACCAAGGAACAACTGTTTATTTTCTAAATAATTGCTTCTAACATGCTTAGCTTTAGTAGATCATAGCCATATTTGTTATTCACTTGTGTATTTCTAGAACTGTTATTTGCATCTTGCACAAAAATCAGTGCTGTTTTGGTCGGGGACTTTTTGTCTGCTTTGGGCTTTTCACTGCATTGAGTGAATAGCCAAATTATGATTTTTGGGATAGATCGGACCCTTGACTGTATTTTCTGATGCTTGCCTATCTTTGTGGAAAACTATTTATAGAGTTTTCCTGTTTAGGCCTTATGAAAATTAATGTTCAGCTGTCTCCCACCTTCATAGAGTTTCCAGTTAAATGGAGAGGGCAGATTAGTGTCCTAACTTTCATCAAGCTTACCTGAAGTCCATTTAAAAATAAAAAGTTTATAATTTAAAGACAGTAGATCAGCTGTTGTAAAGCAGAGTGGGGGGAAAAAAACAGCAAAGCACAGCACAAATATTTGTTGATGAGACATTGATGTTGAAAAATGATTAGTTATTGCAATACTTTTGTGTGTTGTCAGGTCTATTTTTGGCTTGTGCAGCCAGAAGCATTGAACTCTTCTACTTCCAGCTTTGGATGATGATTTTTCATGTTTCTTCCTCCCTTTTGAATTTCAGGTGTTTGGTGACGGTGTTTGGAGCACAGCAGCAGGACCAGATTATTCCCTGTTCTTAACAGACAAGGAAGACTTCCAACCTGGATTATATTACAGTGGCCAGGAGACAACAACAGAAAAAGATTTATATGAAAATAACTGTACGAAGAGTCCAGTTCTGTTGTTATCATGTAGTAAGGTGAGTGGTGTTTCCTTTAAGTTAGTGCAGTCCTACTGGTAACTTTTGAAATGGCACAGTACAGGTTCTTCGGCTAGCTTTAAGAGTGTCTAGTCAAGGAACTGACTCCTTGTAGCCAAACCAGGAGGATGGTTACATGGGGCAACCAGGAGGCCTCTTAGTGTTGTTCTGTTTCTTGCCTGTTTATTGTCTTTCCTTGTGTCTGAGGGAAAGGGAGGTGCTTCCAATGTCTCTAATCCATTTCCTCCAATATGTGCATGTTGCAGGAGTGCACCCTCATATCATGCTTTGTTTTCACCTTCTTCATGAGTTTATTCTTTGATGCCATTGCTCTTCATTTCTTCTGTTTCTTGAATGACTGAAGGCATTGCCTGCTTGTGCCCCAGCTCTATATTCTCTTCCATTCCCTATGAATCTATTTGCGAGTGGGTGGAAGGTCTCCCAGAGTTCTGGACCATCTTCTTCCCCCACCCTTGGCCTTTCTCTTGGGTGTAAAGGAGAAACTGAGCAAAGGCACCAGAAAGAGCATTTGCTTATTTATGGGAGAGAGGAGGCTACCCTCTTCAATTTTCATTACCAAGCTGAATCTCATTGTAGCTGCCTTGAAGTTGGTACGAAGTGGGGGACTGTGTGCTTTGACTCCATGTCCTGCTGCAAGCTCTTTGGTTTCAGACCAGCCTGAGTTTAAGGCAGCAGGCAGGAGTCAGGCAGGGTAGAAAGCGCCTCTGTCTCTCATCTGTTCTGGATATCATTGCTCTTTC